TGGTTTGTTTTGAGTCTATAGGCAGAAACTCGCCGCTCGACAAGCGCATAGCTATCTCATTTGTGTTGTCTTTGCATATTAAAAGGCTGCCAAAGCAAAGTGGAAGTTTTACTTCTCGGTGATTCCGCCCATTCATCTGTTTGACAAACTCTTCTTCGTATTGTGTCTTTGTGTCGTATATTTCATCTTGGATCACGTTCATTCTAAGCCGATATGCTACTAATAATAAAAAAACATCACTGATTTGAGTGGTCAAGCAAACTAAATGGATACAACCATCTTTCATCTGAATAAATGATTTTTATTAGGTCTTGTATCACCCTCCACATCTTTCTCCAACTTTCTTTTCTTTTGATAACTCTGAGAAATATATAAAAAATCACAGTGACTGAAATATAAAGTGAAACATATTTTAGCGTGGCTGCTGTTATCACAGCGACTTCATGTTCGCACATCGGTTCACACGCCGTTTCACTATTGTTTAGAATCAACAACTTGCATGTTTAGGATGGAGATTATAAACATATATTACAGGAATTTGATAAATAGATTGTTCACTTATTGTATTTAGTAGTGGCAACTTTGCAAGGCTTTAACCGTGAGACTCATCCCTAGTAATCACGTGATCATGGCAAAGACTGCAGCGAGAGAGAGGCAGGGAGGGAGAAATGCGAAAGAACTGTACAGGGAGGGGTTAGCTGACTGTTTGGAAGAATAAAGCTGGACTGTCTGTAATGAACTAATGTGTATTCATTTGGGTCAAATCTGGTACCTCTACGTGCAAGTGACATCAGCCAAGCCAAACGAAGCTCCCAGATCCTCGAACAGGAAGTTCCCTGTTCATAAGACTGCTGTCACCGTGACTATACTAGGCAGAGTTGAGCGTGAGATAGGGAATTAAAGATTTTGACATAAAATCAAGTTTTTTTGACAGTTATGCAAGTTTTTTTTTTCATGACATTTTCGCCCCCGGCATTCAACACAAGTGCGTTGTTTTTACGCGACAGTTGAACAACCTACTGACAAAGGTCGATTTCTCAAGTAGCAAAAAATAATATTAAGCAAGATTTAAGAATAAACGAACCACTCTGAAACCACTTTGGCATGACAACAATCCCACCAGCCAATTCACTTGTTTTAATGAGAACATGAAATAAGCAGTCCGATATAAAGTAATACCCCTTTCGCTTATTTGTCTATGGGCGTTTTTTTATTACTTAAAAATAGTAATATTATTATAATGTATTGACAGGAATAACATGCTTGTAGGCCGAGTATGGTCATTCGGCCTGACTGTGTGGATCTCGTGCTACACAACAATATAATGTGCCCATAGCAACAAGTAAAACATATACTTCCCGCAAGGAAACACTACATAGCATCTTGAGCGCTAATTAAATAGTAAAGCGCCACCACTGTCAACACGCAGCGGATTTTCGAATCTCGTGTAAAAAAACGATGATGTATTTGACATGCGTTGTGTGCAAGGGACCACGACGAACACGATGCGATGCGACGTCTGTGGCGCGTTGAGGTGGAACTGCAATCCACAAACATCTCAATTGTAAACATATTCATCAATAAATAAATGCGTCGTCTGCTTTGATTACTCAGATCAAGATTCCTCTACGGGGTTTCCCCAAGTGAATAATGCAAATTGATTTGATACCTTCACCAAGAACTTGAACCCCTTAAGCTGTTCCTTTTTCCCGGCCAAAATATTGTTAAATATTTCAGACATTGTTACAACATTTCAGACATTGTTGTGTATTTTTCTATAATCTTCGTCAATTTTGGACCAAGTGAAAATAATTTCACATTGCGATATCAAAAATTCGATGTGGAGAATGAGATTGTTTCAAAGCCCTTCACAATAATTGTAAATAAATAGCATTTTGCGACTAAATTTGAAACTATATTAGAGGTTTTCATCGGGATACTAACTCGGGGTCGGTCTGCGCGAAACAAGGTACATGCCATTGCGTTATGGCTTGCTGAGTCGATCACGCACGTTGGTGATACACATAAGTCATGGCCACATGACATTACTTCATTCAACGAGATCATATTCAATACACATTGAAATGGACAGTAATATGGCAACGCGTCATCATCCGTGTTGTCGCCTATCGTTATACGCTTATAATGACAGCAGTAATGACAGCACTAATGACAGCAGTAATTTCAAAAGGCAAAGAAGCGATGTGAGTTCCGGTTCAGCTGAGTAGATCATCGTTCACTGACCTTTTTGAATCCTCCATAAAAAAGGGAGGGGGAAATGAACAATTTTGGGTCAGTGGAAAATTTTGCAATTAAGGCAAGCAACTTCCCGCATTTTTGATAATTAAATTTAAAATCTCGTTTTGTTCCTCGTAATTGCAAGCTGTCATACGTAGTGCGTTAGTCTTTCTGACAGTTACTGGGTTCAGGTAATTTAACGTGCAATGTTTGTCTCGTTACGGCATTTTTGTTCAGTTCATTGGATGCAATTAATTGCTTGGTCTATTTATAATCAGTACTAAACAGTACACTATATAGACATCATATTTTGTGCTATTTGTTTCCTCGCATAACAAATAATTATACTTTATTACAGTATAGGAATATGTCGTCACTCTTTCTCGTCTCCAAAACCACGGGAGTTGGAATAACGCGTGCCAACTTCGGCTGATCATAATTTATGTCACGATATCCGTATTTTGTAAATCTTCCATATGACGTCGTTCCAAGCTGCGTTGATGCTGTGTCGTTATAATGAGAATCCAGGTACAGGTTTTAAGACCAGACTCGTTACATATGATGACGCCAATAAAATGACGTCACGGATCTAGTTAAGACCCAAATCGGGAACTTACTATGTGTTGGGCGTTCACTTCTCTTCCTATCTGCGTCAGTTGGTACGAACATGACAAGGAAATTAATAATTAACAACTCGGAAAATCGATAAAACTAATTAAAACACGGAGGAGACTCGGATTGACAATGACTGTTTGTCTTACGTCATCATACGTCATCAGGCTTTCGAGAGAAATATACGTAGACAGGGATGAAACGCAACAACATATAATGGTTGGCGCTATTTCCGTCACACGTACATGACCACGTTAGTTTGGAGATGTATTCAAAAACTGTCAGAATTGCATTCCACGTATTGACCACCTATTCTGGCACGTGGTGGTAATTAAGGACCGGTTGTATTCAATTTACAAGTCATTACACATATTAATAAATGCATAAATTAATTAATCGTCATACCATGGTACAAAAAGCCTACTGTGGAAATATCGGACGGTTTATTGCAAATCATGTAGGACTTGTGGGACATGTCAACAATACATGATAACAGCGGTGGCTGATAACGACCGACAGTAGTACATGTATTTATATACTAGTATACGCGCCGACTAGTGTATTATAACCGGAAAATGCACTCTTTTAGTCAACGTCGGCGATTTGGTATAACTTAAGATATTAAAAACGGGATGTTTATATAAATAATTTATGTTCAATATGATAACTCGAACAGTATCGATCCATGCAATGATGCGTTCACAGACGTGTGTGATAAATGTGAGAAAAATTGGTCTGAAGATTTACAATACCAATATTTATAAGAAATTGCATGATACACTGCTGACTGCCTCGGTGAATTCAGTGCATGTTAACATTACTAGCAAATGTCCATCGATCATGTACGTGTTATGTAGAACGTCGATGGATAACTGTGAACAAGAGTAGAATATATTATTAAGTATGTCAGAAAAAAATAGTTATTGAAAATTAAATGCTAATACTGTAATATACTTGAAATAAATGGTAAAACGCGTCATGATTTGGACTTCCTTGTAGCATCATGTTGCCGACACTCTCGTCACAATGAGATCGATATAACCCACTGGCATGAACGCCATGAATCGAGATAGTGCGCAATGCTACCCTTATAAAAGTGAGACCATGTCATAGAGTGAATGCCGCGATCGAGGCGCGACGTGACGTGATGCGGCGCCATTTGGCGTAAGAGTGTATTAAATTAATCATTGGCGGGTCGTGGATTTTTCCAAGAAGGCGCTCCAAAAACTATGTTGGCCTTTTAATATTAAAAGGCGGTACACGTGGTCGTCGTGCCGAGTCGTGTTCGATTTGGGACTCATAACGACGTACGCAACGCGTGTAAAATACATTGTTTGTTTGTATTAAATTCGAACACGCGCTGCGGGACGACCACCGCCCCTTGAGACACAGTACCTCGTGCTTGAGAGAATTAACAAAATGTTATTCCGAAATTCTGTCTTTTAATCTTCACAATGCGAGGTAAATTTTTGTTGGTGTATGTGAGCTGCCGTGTATTGAGGATTTTAACGACTGTGTAACAACCACCTGTTGCCGAGATCCTACGGTTATGTAATGACTATGTAAACAACTTGACGGTGCACACATCCCTAATGCAATGAATGAATACTGCACACGTCAAGATTCAGCGATAACATTATTTCAATACCGTCTTTATCCACGTTGCCGATTTTAAAACCGTATGACAGCCATACAGCCGTCTGTTGCCACCACCCACTGCGATCGTTTAGATTTGTTGCCACTACCGCTTTCTGGTGAATAATGTCTAATGTATGTATGACTAACCCTACTTTTGTTTTGAATATAGCGTGGTAACTGTGTTGTCAGGTAAAATATAAGCGAAATGACGTTTTGATTCCTAGTCTAAAAAGCGATAAAGCGACTATATGAGGTCTTATTGTGCATAGCCATGGCAATAACGACGACCGTGTTAAAAATATATTA